TGGCAGTTGCATCGGCTGGCTCCTCGTGGCAGCGACTGGGGAGACACACATCAGAAGCCATTGATGCCCCTCCTTGAACGGAGAGGCTTCCCTAGCTGCCGCAGGTGATGCAAGTTCTGCATCGCCTGGGTCCTCGTTGCTGGCGTAAGGGAAGCATTCAACAAGACAACACACCACGTCGTGAAGATACCACTCACCGGTTCGAGCAAGTGCGTCTACGAATATTCATTATATATATATATATATGATGTGCAGCTGCTTGCAGCTCAGAACAACCCTCTGCTTGCCGTTTAACCTCACAGTTGGCAACTCTTCTGCAGCATCTCATCGCAAGAGCACATCACATGACACACAGCTTCGTGAACGTCCTCACAGGCACCGGCTAAGATCTCAAGACTTGCGCACTGTGCGATGTGTAGCTGAGAACAACCCGACTTAGCTACGTGCCTGCTGCACTGAAGAGGTCTCCTTATGCGGCGGAACCGGGAAGAGAGCCGCTTCGCATCAACCCATGCCCTTTCTCCCAGAGCCGCACGCCTGATTCAGTAAAGGAGTTGAACCACGAGCTGTCGTCGCAGATGATACCTCTTCATCGGATGGATGCGGCTCGCCCGGAAAACGAAATCATGATTCACCGAGTCTTGAACGAGCACCTACTGCAGACATTCACGTGACAATCCCCTCTGCCAGCCAAGTGCCTGCTTCGAAGATGTCGACCTGCGAGTAGATGTACCGGGTTGTACCTCTGCATCGGCTGCACCACACAATAGAAGTGTTGAATAAAGCAAGACTGAATCACCGAGTCTTAAGCACCCAGGCCAGCAGACAATTCGAGACCTGACCTGCGCCCTGTTCTATGTGTCACACTGTACCTGGAACGCCTCATAAAGCTTCGGTGGACAGGTAGCCACACGAGTTGTCGCAGGCACTGGTTCTGCATCGGCTGGCTCCTCGTCACGACGACAAGCAAAGGCAGAGTGCAGAACAAGGGAAGGATGCACAACATATCCCTTCCCCATGCGACACTTGCAAGACTTGCCGCTCATCACTTCTAAGCCCGAGACGCAAGCGCGCTTCAACGGAGATGTGGCCCCACCAGAAGTTGTCGCAGAATGTAACCCGGCATCGATTGGATCCTTGCTGCAGGGCAAAGGAAGCTGCCTAAGGAAGCTCAGAACAAGATAAGAGTGTCAGCACACGAGTGGTTGCTTCAACCGAGAGGTGCCTCATGAATGGTTACCGTAGGCGGTGCTGCTGCATCGACTGGATCCTCGCTATGAGGGCAGGTAACATGAACAAGACACGACAACGAGCGAGGGCAGGTGGCATGAACAAGACATGGCACAGACAGGAGCTAAACACTCACACACTGCTGACAGCTCTGCCCTGTGCTGCACTTGCAATACGTGCCGCTGATTCAACTTAAGATAACCCCGCGTCTGATAAGCCAGAATCTACAAACTACAAAAATGAGTCAACAGAACACTGAAAATGATCAAATCCAGAATAACAAGCTCTACAGAAAGATGAAGAACACATGCAGAAACAACGTGAGAAATAGGCCGAAAAAACATCAGCAACAAACGATAAGCAAAATGTAACAACATGGAGCAAACTCAAGAAACCATAAACCCCGGTTTGCAACACTGGTTCTACACAGCTGTTGCCCGTGTTGTAGCGCTGGTTGTTTACTCTTTCCGAGCACTAAGGGTGCCGCAGACAAGCCTTCCTCTCTCGTTACGAGACCAGCTTCCTACGTGTCGCTTAATTGGTGTTTCGAAAGCCGCCGCGAGAGTGAAATCCCACTTGGTTCCATTCTTTCCCATGTCGCGCTTGATGCTCCTGCACCCGATTTCCAATGACAATCTGAAAGATCCTCGCAATTCCTTATTTCCATGATTCATAGTGGACCGTGCCATCTTAAACAATAACCGTACGTGCAAGCCTGCTTCACCGGAGATGTGGCGCCACTAAAAGTTGTCACAGGTGGCAGCCCTGCGTCGACTGGATCCTCGTCACGGGGACAATGCAAGCACAGAGCACCGTGGCAGGTTGCAAGGCCTGTGCCCTGCGCTATTGGTGAGTGCAACAAAGAAACAAACCACGAGCCGAGTGCCTGCTTCAATGGAGAGCTTGCCCCTGCTATGGCTGACTTCCCCTCTGCATCGGCTGGATCCTCGGCGGATAAGATGCTTCAGACGGACCGGCTACACCTGCGATTCCGGCACCTTGTCGCTTTGATCCGCTTTGCGCTGCCAAGGCAGCCGCCGTCTGAATGCTCCTGGACATGCAACGTCTCGGAAGCGGTATGAGGGGGCGACTACAGGAGGTTGCCTCGTCCCTGCTCTGTGGTACTTGGGCTCGCTGCACTCGCTGGGCTGCTTGGGCTGCTTGGGCTGCTTGGGCTTGTGGCGGACACCTGCCGGAACGAACATACATAGCGCCCTCCACCGTCGCGGGTTCGAGAGGTTCGCAAGAGCCACACCCCGTGCTCCATGACATGACTGCTTGGGGTTTGGGGAGACCTCTCTGAAAGGGGCTTCACCAGGCTTCGGGCCCCTCTGGGGTTTCAGGAGGAAGCCCGGCTGATGCATCAATCTCTGAGCCCAAAACTTTTGAAAGGTTGAGAGAGTCGGTGTTACAACGGATCAAATCGACATCCTGCCTCCATGCGTTCACTGCCGCTTCTCTTGAAGGACCAGGGCTTCCGCCCCGCTCGCGGGCCACCTCCAGATCCACAGAGAGCTGATCTAGGCTCATCGTTGGCTTGACTGCCTGTGCGCATGCAAACGATGCAAGGAAGCCAGCAGATCGCCCAAACCGCCGAAGCCGAAGCCGTTGTAAGACTTTCTCGCCTTCGGAACTTGCCTTCGTCACAGGCAAGGCTTCCTGCAAGCAGGATGCATATTATGCTCACGGTCAAAAGCGACTCCCATCAAGAGTGCGATTCACTGTGTTCACTAGCCTGTCGTCGGACTGCTGCCAAACTAGAGTACATTGACCTGCTCTATCCCTATGAACTCCTGCATACATCCTCGTGCTTCAACATTGCGAATTGGTTGCCACAGTGTCCATAAGAATTCATGGATAGTTGATGATATTTGCCTCAGCCACTGCATTCGTTACAGTATCTGTTTCCAGATACGACAACTGTCTTCTTCAAGAGTTAGATGTGTCAGACTATTCACAATGTTGTGTGACGGTGCTCTCGAGGTGCCTACACCCTGCCTCAGATACAACAGCAACCTGACTACATTCGTGGACAACACATACTATTAGATTTTTTGCAGCACAATACTCTCGTGAGATAGACTGTCGCGAATTTGAATGAATTGTTGGTCGTACTGCCGCTCGCTCATGACTAATGTCTAATACTCGATTATCCCTGCCATGTGTCACTCTCGTCTTGTCCTGGGGAAGCTTCACGGAGTTCAACTTGACGCTTGCACCTCGAGATTCACGATCTTGCGAACTCTGACATTCAATTCCTTGTGCTCGATATTTGCGGACAAAGCCTTGGGGTGCTTCTGCATCCTCCTTCGAACAAGGAGGATTGAACTCCGGTCACACGGGGCCGCTAGACTAGGGTCACAACATGTGAAGACATGACAAGGGTCATCTGTCAAGCTCTCCTGCTCATACGCTGACATGGCTGCATTTCTTTGGACGATCTTCTGGCTGTCCTTTGTCGTTGGATCAATGTCACAGGCACGAAGGAACGATTGCCAAGCTTCCCTTGCACTCTGGTCCTTAGGACGTGCCAGCTCGTCGACGTCAGCCATGGCAGCCTGCCAGCGCATGCATCAGCTCGCACGTCTGGACTCCCCCTCGGGCCCACTCAGCCTTCTTCAATCGCTAGGCTGACCTAAGCAGCCGGAACCAGAAAGCGGCAGCAAGGTCTTACAGTGGCCCGGGAAGCTGCATTACGCCAAGGAGCGTTTGCAGCTCCCCTTCTCGAGCTGCTCCATGCCTGCATCGGGCCCGATACACAGTTGCAATGCACAGTTGAATGCCACCCATCGTCACGGAGAAGGCCGATGAGGCCGGGGGCCAGGCCCTAGTGCAGAAGACTCTACGGGCACCATCGCTCTGCGAAAGGCCGCTGCCCGTACAGCATCAATCTTAACCCGATGTCAACGTGATGTTCCATAGCGGCACGTGTAGATGTAGTTTCTGCAGACACAGACACTGACGATCTCAACACGTCTACCACTGTTACACCGAAATAATTCCCTTATCAAATGCGCTGGAAAGCTCCGGCCATGCTGGTCACGCTCCGAGCCTGTACACTGGCAGGGCCAACTTCTTGGCCGGCAAGGAGATTGCTGGGGCTGCTGGGTTGCACAAAGCAGAGATGCAAGGCGCGCCTTTTCATGGGTGCGACTCGCATCAGCAAAGCGCACACATCAAACACCGTCGCTCAGAAGCACTCCTCCAGCTCAAGTGACAAGCGCCGCTTCTCGGAGGCGGAGGCCGGAGGCCCCGTTTGGGGAAGCTCCTACGGCTCATGGCAAACAGGGCTTGAAAAGTCACATCTCTTTCCACAGCCACATACTCTAGCTTCAGGACCATCAGCAGCCACCAAGAGACGATGAAGGCTGCAGAGCATTGATTCAGAAATTCAGCTTGATGCTGAATGCCGTCTTCGGCTACTGAATGCAGGAGCCGTCGCTCCTGAGGCTCAAGAGCGACGGCACTTGACGCCGAAGCAGGCTGGCTGGAATGGCTGCTTTCCTGTCGAGCCGGGAAACGCCAAGTCGACGAGTCGGCCAGAGTCGCACCTTCTCCACGTTTGCGGAGGCGGAGGGATGTTCTGCAGCGACGGCAGCTGCCTCATTAACCTTTTTCGACAGGCTCAAGTCCTCAGCACTGTTGTGGTAAAGGGGGCTGCCTGGCCCTCGAGGATGATGCCAAAGCCCTCGTCCTGAGGCCCACATTACGAAGCCTTGCTGCCAAGGTGTGCGAAGGCCTCTGCCTGGCCTCCAAACCTCCTGGAGGATCCCGCAAAGCTCCCCAAAGAGGCCCCACAGGTTGCGTGGTGGGCGACGAACTGGGACTTGCCTTTCGCGAAACGAGAAGCCTCTTGAAGCGGTCACCTCCAAACGTGGGCGCACCGGCGGTGCGACCTCCGAGCTAGCCTTCCGAGAAAAAGGAAACACACCCCTCCACAAGCACGTCGGCACAGCGCTGCAGTTGCCTTCGGTGTCTCTGAAGGTGTGCTGGGAGGCGAGTGGAAGCGTCCCTGGCAAAACAAAGTCTTGCATTGCGTGCCAGAGCAAACCGAACACAAAGCACAAGGCGTGGCTTGCTTGAAAGGACACTGCCCGCTGTGGCAGGGAGAACCTCCTGTGCCAAGCTCGCAGTATCAGATTGATTACGATCTTCAATTCGAAGTTGGACCATGGTTTCTGATACAGCGCTCATCATTGACACTGTTGCTCCGGCTGGCGCCCGCTAGCCGCCAGCAGGTGTCAGCTGTCTGCTCAGTTCTTCACTCGCATGAGCCACTGGCGTCTCGCCTCCGTTGCTGCAGCCACTCTTCCTCGTCCTCGCAGGCACAGCAGAGAGACACGAAACATGACGAAAGTGCTAACTGAAGAGCAAAAGCAACGCGAGAAACGCCGCGACGTGCCGCTGCGGGACGGGGCGCGTGTCGGCTCCGCTCCTCGCGGAGGTGCGCCTGGCGCTGGCGCCGCTCCGGGCGGAAGAGCCGCTCCACGAGCGCTGCCTCGTCCTCGAGGAACCGAGGAAGACACGAAGAAGTAGAGAGAGAGAGAGAGAGAGCGAGAGCCAGAGCCAGAGCGAGAGCGAGAGCGAGAGCGAGAGAGCGCGCGAGGGACGGGAGGGGAGGGAATGAATAAAAGGAAGAAGGGCACAACTTGCTCAAAAGGGCTTCGGGGGGCCTTTCGCGAAGGCTTCTTGCGAGTGCCGGCCTTGTCAAAAAGTCGAGGGACAGCTTGTGCCAAAAGGGTGAAACAACTGCGGCCAAGCACCAAATCTGACACTTCCTTGAGTTCCTCCGCGGCGTTCGTGTGGCAAACTTCCACAGCAAACAGCCGAAAAAACGCCGACCCGGCCTGCTCTCGCTGAAGCTCCCGTCGTCGCAACCTCGGCGTGAGTGCAAACCCGCACCATGCATTCTCCGTGATCAAGTCGTAGTGATCCTGCTTGATTGAAAGCCCCGCTAGCATGCAAAATTCTTAGTGCACCGCTTCTTCAGCTTTGCGTCCTCGTACAGGCCTCAGCTTTACCGGAAAGAAGCTCCGGGGTTTCTTGCAAGACTGAGCCCAGGACGCTGAGAGATGACCCCAATGTCTGCCTTCACTCCGAGACTCTGAGACGTCTTCAGGGCTCGGGTCAGGATCTCTAAGATTTGCTGCAGGCTTGGATGTAATGTCGTTTGCTTTGCACTTCGGACACTAGCCTTCGTGGGTTGTGTTGAGATTCAAGACCTGATGATTCAATACTGCCTTGAGACCGACAATAACATGGCATCTCCCTGGAGACCCTGTGCGGCAACAAGTAGGTAATCCAATCCTGAACTGCACGGTGCCACGGCTGACGGAAGAAAGCCAGGGACAGGAAAAGACAAACGGTCTGACAGCGCATGTGCTTTACGAGAACCGTGTGACCCAACGTGTGAACCCATATGGCCTGAGGAGATCTGGCACGATGGACGCTATGCGATTCCAGGTACCTCTGCCTCAAGGAGCAGATTCTGAATGGCTGGGGCTCCCCCAGAATTCCTCCCCTTCCTGAGGCTTCCACTCCTGCTCGAGCTTCTCTTGCTGCATGACACGCCTCTTCTCGGCCTTGCATGACCGTGACTCGTCACGGAAGATGGCGAGATGCTCTGCTGCTTCATGCTATCGGCATCATCTCATGATCAAGCCCTAGGAAAGAGCTGCGGCACGAATTAATCTAATTTAGCACGCTGTGCAACGGCCTAATCCTGAGACATTAAGCTCGGCACTGCCTCCACGGCTTGCTCGTACAGTTTCAGCTGCCTGTCACTCGTGATGCCTCGGGCTGACTCAACGGAGTGCTTCAAAGCCCTGCAATGGAGACAGTAGGTCTAAGTAGGCTGGAGCTGCAACACCAATGGAACTGGGCAGCTGAAATAAAGTCGGGCATAAGTCACAGCAACGGGTTATGCAAGCCCCCTGTCGGAGCCTATATTTAATATTGATGGAAGAGCATGCACAAAAACCGACGCAATACCTGGCACAAACAATCCAAAACGACAGAAAACACTATGACAAAGTTTGTCGACATACAAACTCATTCAGAAGGTTGTGCCTGACAAGACTCGGCAATGATTCGATGGTCCGGCAGTTGAAGTGTTTCACAGATTTCTCCAGACTACAGGATAAAGCGAAGAAACTGTTGACCGTGTTGATGGCAGGCACAAAAAGACCAAAAACAGACGACACCTTGCACAAAATTGCCAGGGCACGGCGGATGCTGGTGAAGCTTAGAGAATCTTTCGAAATCTTGCGAAGAAGTGCAAACAGCTGCGAGTGCAAAACAGTCAAAGCCTTGCCGATGTCATTCAATCCGGGAACCAACAATGGAACCATCCACCAAGACTGTCACGGGCCCAAACCAAAACTGAAAGCGAACCGTGTGTGAGTCCCATGACAAGCAATCCGGGGAACTTGCCCCGCGCAGGAGGATCCTGAAGGGCGCAAGGGATTTCGATTGCGGATTCTACGGTTTCTTATGTTTCTTCCAGTGCAACCGGGAGCTTACGAAGCTACAAAAATCTAAAAGTTCAAACGACCTCTGCGTTTCGGCGACCCCTCCGACTCCGACCCTGGACGTGTAATTCTCGGCTTCTTACACCAGGGTGGTGGGCCGAAGGACAGGGGCCTGGACTGAGCAGTAGGAATCTGATTCAGAGCCAACTCTCCACCCGGAAACTGCCGCTAGACCGAAAATAACATAGGCCACTGTCATGCAGAATTGCGAGGTGATTGCGAACCCTGTCCTCCGTATCATTCCGTCGCTGCCTGGCCACCACAGAGCTGGGTGCCTGCATGAAAATGCTCCCCAGTCGGAGGCCTTCTCTTCAACTCTGCATCCTCATGCAATCCTCGGCAGTGGTAGAAGGACGCGCCAATGGGATCACTTTAGGTCTCCAGCTTTAGTGTGAAGCTCAGCAGCCTAGCAGGATCTATCTCCCATGGACAGGGAACACCTTGCAAACCTGGCTTCTGGAAGACTCCTGTGCAAGTAGAAGCAAGCTCCATGGATGTCCTGACATCAAGGCCTTTGGTTCCACCTGAAGCAGTGAATGCGACCTTTCGTCTGAGACGCGAACGTTGGTAAACCGTCGGGTTGACCTATGCATACTCTGCTCACATCCCTGCAACTACAACCTCAAGCAGGCCAGGGTCGGTGGCCTGAGGAGATCTGGCCCGATGCACACTGTTTGCCTCGCGGTAGTCTCGCCTGGGCACATCAGAGCATCTTGGGAGACAGTCGTAGTAACAGTCGTATGTAGAGAGCCGCCCCCCCTTCGCAGGGTTTTTTTCTCGGGGTCCCTTGCTCCTCGCGGAGCTTCTGCTCCTGCCGCTGACGCCGACGCTGGGCCTGGCACCAGGGCCGGGGCGGCAAGGGCACACCGTTGCGGCGTTGTACTAATTCATTGCATCCCTTTCCCCGGGGCCATCTCCAAGCGATGGTCGTAGAGGACCAGATGCCGCTCTCTTGGTTCCGAGCTGCCTGTCATTGTGTGCCATTCGACTGAAACTGCACAGAAGTTCGGCTAAGCTGAGATGAAGGCATCGACTGGCTCTGGACAAGGTCGGGGCCTCCAAGTCCACTCGTGTGGCTCATACTCATGTACATCAGAACATGAATGTCGCATTAGACGCGATGCCCTGAGAAAATCACGAAAACTGTTTGCTTCCGAAACCAAGGACGGGACAAATGGTGCTTGCCGACAGAACTCCTACAGGTCATGCCACGTCAATGCCTTTCCTGTCTCCTGGCAGATCCTTTCAACGACAAGCCCAAAATCCAAGACCTTAAGCTCGATGACTACAGGTGTCGTCCTGCTCTCTCTCAAAGGTCCGCGCAGCTTTGCGCTCCTGATGGAAGCTCTAGTTCCAATCGTGACATGTACTGTTTAGTATCTTCTCAAAGCATACCCGATCGCTTCGATGGCTTGCTTTGGCGGAGTTGCACTGTCACACAAGCCACTCCGACTCATGAGATTCGTTTCGATCCAGATGCTTCAATAGTTCCAAGGAGTGTCCAAAGGTCGCGGCTTGGACTGAGGGAAGCACTAAAGTCTTCGGGTGTGGCTCCAAAACGGGTTTGGGGCAATAGACCACGCCCGCAAAGGGCCTCTCGCTTCCTGAGCTCCTGGGCAGGGAAGCCAAGCTGAGAGATGCCGAAACGCGGAGCAGGGGCCAGGGCCTCGTCGTGGAGGCGCTCCACCATTGCCGCGAGGGCCTGGCGGGTCGGAGCGTGTTACAACATGCGTCCCCGTTTCTTCTCCGGTCCGCCTGGCCTGTGCGGAGGGGGAGTCCGGCACCTCAGCGAAACCCCGAAGCAAAGCCGCTTCTCCGAAGGTCTGCGGATGCTAGGTCCCCTGGAAGGCACCTCCTTCTCACGACAGCGGCCGAAGCGGTCTGAGTGCATGCCTGCATGGCAGAGCTTCAAACTCCGAAAGGCACTGGAGGCGCAAGTTGCGCAAGGCTCCGGCTCAAGTGCAACTTTGCGGCCGCCCCCTGCTCGAACCTGCTACTAGCGGAAAGCTTCCGGAGGTTTGGGCAATGAGCGAAGGTGCTTGAGCGCGACAAATTATGTGTGCCTATTCGGTGACCCAGGCGAGCTGAGCGAGGAGATGAACGTCTCGGAAGAGGCCCTCCGCATGCCGTCACCCGTCTCGGTCTCATAGCCGCGCGAGTAGACCGGGCTAGCGATGCCAGGTACTCTCCGCTCGGGTGAACTCTCAACCCGGCTGGGCAAGAGCAAATCCTCGAAATCCTCTCCCGGCTCAGGTCGTCGTCCCGGCATTCTCGGGCAAACGTCACGAAGTCCCACGTGTCCCATGGTCTCCGTCAGCGCCATGGCTCAGCCCTACCTCAAGCCATATAATGGATCCTGAAGCTTGTCTTTGCATCTGCTACCATGCGGTCAGCCAATGAAATAAAAACAGCATGAAATTCTGGCACTGCACCCAGATGCGCACCACTCTAAAGTACGCGACGGCTCCGCATGAAGCCAAAGGGCTCTGCTTCGGAACTTGCTGCTTGCCACAGCATGCCGAGGGCCAGTCGAGTCTTGACTCGTTGCCCTGATTTTCGCATAGGCGAACGTTGGAATCCGTTTTCCCTTCTTTGGGGACAGCTAAGCATCACGGCAAACCTGGGAGGCGGTGTCACCGGCCAGACTCCGGATCGTACCTGCCATGACCGCCCCGAGGCATGGGATGATGTGCGAGTTCCTCCGTTCTTTGCCCGCCTCGGCACGTCGGGGCACAGCCCTGACGGTGTGGACACTGTACGCGCCTCCCGAGGCTGCTCCTCACTTGATAGAAGTCGCAGGTCCAGCAAAGGTCTTTGCAGCTCACATCCCGTCCTGCTCTCCTTCCGTCCGCGGCTCTGCGGATGGCTCCGTGGATGTCTCTGTCCTGGTGAAGGAGAAATGCCATGCATTTATTCTGAATTCCTTCCCGCACACAAGATCCTGAACGGCTCTGCGGTCTCGTTCTCCGCACCGCGGCGGGCCATCTGGAAAATGGCTCGAAAGCCGTTCATTTGACGAGATGCTCGTGCACTCTCGGGTTCAGGCACATGGAATTACCGTCAGCAGCACCTTGCTGAGGCATTCGTCGGTTGCCGAAGCTCATGGACATACACCGAATACAAGCCCGCTTCTCTAGCTTCAAAGTTCTTTCTGTTGACTACTTCGGCCAGTCAGTCAAAATTGAACTTCCGGCTTTTTTACACCTTCCTGTCGGGCATGGAAGCATATTATATGAGCAATAATGAGCTCGATGTTGCCACCACCCTGCAAACGCCGAAATATCTTCCGTTATCGTGAGCCATAGAAGACCAAAATGCCGCCATCTGCCGACTGCATTCGTGAGGATCTTTCCTTCTTTCGCCGGGCTGTGGTGGAGGGTTGTGGCCCTTTACCGCGCGAGTCGAAGGATCTCTCTCTCTTTCTGCCGGACATAGGGGTCGTCCTCTCTCTTGCATCCTTCCTTCCTTCCTTCCTTAGGGTCGGGTCTGCGAGCAGACCCGGGCCTAGGCCCCCCCATTCCTTCCTTGTTGGTGGAATGAGCCTTTGGGGTCTTGGGAAGGATCTCGTTCCCCCGTCGGCACAAAGTGTAGAGTGCTGCTGTCGACAACCCCCCTGACCCTGAACTTTAAAGTGCATCCCGGCCTCATCCCCACGACCTCTATGGCCTATCCTAAGTACCTTCGACAGTAGCACTCTCCTGTAGGACCTACGGGAGGCTAGCACCGTTTGAGTAAAGCAACAACTGAGTTCGCGACCCTAACACATACGGTACAGATCACGACTATCGGGGCAGTCTTCCCCCTTTTGTATGGTTCAGTCAAGGCGCGGTTCTGTAGGTTACTTGAAGGCCGGTTCCCCCCTTATGTAAACCAACACAATTGCGACCCAGTGCACTGTAAATGAAAAACAACTGCATAAAGTACGACCATCGTCTTTTTTCCTGTTACGGATGACATGGTCCTTGTTTCTGTTACATGTTTTGCACCTCCTAAGCCTCCTAGCGCTCGCACTGCAAGGGGGGAAGCCGCAAAGAATGTAGTGCCCCAAGTCCTGAGGTACTGGCCCAACCAGTCGTTTCCACCACGGCCCAACCCCAGTAAATTCAACTGCAAAAGGCCAGACCATGTCATGATGACCTGCAATCGTCCTCTTCTTCCACACAGTCAAGAGTACGGCAGGCACCGCACTCTGCGCGCGGGCGCGCACTGGTTGTCTGGTTGCTTTGTGAACCCTTTGTGCGATGAGGGCCGGGGCTTTCGAGCAGGAAACCATTAGGTCTAAACATCAACCCCCGGCCTCATCAGGCGCTAACCGGCACTGTTCCCCCTCACGTAGTTTGTTACTTACTGACAACTCGTAAGAGGAACCGGGCGACCTCTGTGCAAACAAACAGACACTGCACACATGGCTGCAATCGTCCTCTCTCTCTCTCTCTCTCTGGTCTGTTCTGTTCTCCGGGGCATAGTTTCTCTCTCTCTTTCTTTCGTCAGGGTTAGGGTGTAGAGGGTAGCCCCCCTACACCGCGCGTGGGTGCGCCCCCGACTGTTGCAGGCGCGAATGAGTTTCACTCACAATCAGAGGCAAACTGCATTCACTCACCTGTGATTGAACAAAACCATACAGGCATCCAAACGTTCTTTGGTGAGTTCATGCCACGGGGCTGGCCCCCGAACCGTTTCGACATATTCAAACACGTGAAAGGCCTCAACATGTGCGCAACTGGCAGAAAGGTGTCAGGCTCGGGCCTGTCGGTGCACTTGATGAGAAAGCAGAGTATCAGCTCGCATCAGGTGTTCACCAATGCCCCTCTTTGAAGAAAAATATTGCAGATACCGTCAGGGGAGAGCAGGACGATTGTTCTCTCTCTTCTTCTTCTGCACAGCCAAAGGAAGGCAGGAATTGTTCTTTCGCCCTCTCTCGGCAAGTGGACAAGGATGGCGCTGCCGCTTTGCTCCATACCCATCCCCTTGAGCGAAGTGCGCGAAGCAGCGCCAGCAACCAGCCAAAAACGCAAAGTATACGGCCTCAGAAGCAGCAACCGTTCAAGCGTTGGCTCAGGCTCACAAGTTTTGGGGGGAAACTCCAAGCTCGCCATGTTTCGGTATCAGCACAACTCAACCTTCCCATAAGCACCCAGCCCAAGACTTCTGCTGAGTCCTGCCAGATAAGGAAGGCTGAGTTGATTCTCCACTTGTTTCGAAAAAGCATGTAGGCATGGAGCTGTTGTGAGCCCTCGGTTCTGCTGTTTCGGAAAAGCTCGCCAGGGTTGAGCTGCGATGCTTCACTAAGGCTGCACAGCCAATCACGTATTCAATCAGTCCGAGGAGAAAGCATCACTCAAAAATTGGGTACAGACGATTGAATTCATCTCAGAAGCCCTCGCCCTTGGGCAG